TTTTGAATTTTACCTCCTTTTTGTCATTTTTCAATTCATATAATTTTTGAGATGGGAAGTTGGTGTCCGAGTGGATCGAGGTCATGATATCTCAAGTGGTAGAGCAGCGGCGTATCAAGCCGAAGATCGTGGGTTCGAATCCCTCTCGTGCCATTAACTTTTTTATCTCAACTAAAAAACCTTAATTGTATGATATTAATTGGTCAAGTGGACCACTGAATGAAACTAAATTTTAAGATTTTTAAAAAAACCCTGGACACTTATTAGAGGTATAACGTTGAACCGGGTCTACAAATTCATTAAATTATCACAGCTTTTTTTTGTTGAGCTGTTGTTATCCTCACTGCCAATCAATGAACTGTTTCCAAAAAAGTGTGAATCTTCTGGTGATCATTTCTGTACCGGCTGCCCCCCAGGTGTCACCGGTGAAACAGCAACGGAAACCATTGATTCCGGCCGTTAGAGCATGACCTCTGCCCTTGGAAGAGCTCGCGATAATTTCAATGTTCATTGAACAAAGAGCGATATTTGGCATCCGATCCCACTGGCCCGTGAAAAAGAGCTTAAACTTGAACCATTGGGCCAATAGTGGCCATATGGTCAATAATTTAATTGTTCCGTCCAATTCATGGATGTTAAAGGAACTTATAAAACATGTTTCATCTTTAAACCCTACCTCTGTAATGCAAAATCTGATCAGTCATCATAATAACAAAAAAAAAGAAAAAACAATTTATTACTTAACCTGTACAGTGATTTTAGAGGCAGTGTTATTTGACCAAACTAATTTTTAAAAAAAGTGTTAGTAAGTTGGATTAAAAAGAGTTACCTAACCTGAGAAGACCTAACCAACTATAGTTAATCCTAGTTATCGCTAGTGCATCATCTGCTGTGTACAATATATTTCTTGATGATAATGGAATAGGTAGCGGTGGTTTGGTATTGTCCAAGTACTGCAACCTTCATGCATATAACTCTTCTTAGTCTTTAGTTTTAGGTTCAATTTCAATTCCATTTCTTAAGAAGTACTAGGACATTGACTATCACTGCAATTCTTTTCCCTGGGCTTTCTTGATTATTTCCTCTTCATTGCATAACCTACAAACTGGGTCACTATTGACTATATGTTGTGTAGGTGTTCTCTCAAATGTCAGTGAGAGTTGTACAGTCTTCTGAGACCATCTGCTGTGGTAATGTGTTTGCCAGTTTGAGAATTCATTAATCATAAGTTTACTGCGTCTTCGGCCTGGAATGGAAAAAAATGGAAGATTCTGTTTGTCTTGGTTATCCAAGTCTTTTTTCAACTTAGAACTGATTTGTGTAATGGCACTAGGTTATGTCTCTTCTCTCTCTCCATTTTTTAACTTTTACTCTCCTTCTCAATCTCACGTCCCAGAATCATTGTTGCCATCAGTGTTACCAACTGAGGGGAAAACAGTATTAACCATTTTATATATTTATATAATTGTAAATTGATTATTTTTGGTCATCTTGGTTCGCCTATTCTTATTTTTTTAATGAGTTTCTTTCCAGAAAAAACTGTTAAATCGTGGGGCACCTACAACGAATATTTTGCTTATTGGTAAAGGAAGGTTATTATGCGTCAAAAGGGAGGGGACAACTACCATTGGTGCAAATATGTTCATAGAATTTTTGAAAAGATCTCTCATGAGTTAATAAGCTTCAATCTTGACCAAATTTCCTTTTATTTCAATCTTCTTGACGGATTACAGAAACGACTAGCGCGAGATTCAACATGCGGACACTCAGCGAAGGGGTAAAATGCTGAAATACGCCTTATTGTTGTATTAGAAACAATTCTATAATTGTGGTTCACATATTCTTGCTGTCCAAGATTTATTTCTACTGTAGGGTTTTACGCAGTTTATATTTTACCTTATAAATTTAGACTGTTTTTTTGTCCATATTTTGCTTTATCATCATTGGTTTAATGTATGGGAAGTCATAGTCATCGACCTTATTTAAATATGTAGCGAGCATAGGTTGATCAGGACTATCAGGGATTGGTACACATGATTTCTTTATATGTATTTTTGATGTAATTTCAAAGAATGGACGAGCGCCGAATTCGCCTGACCGAGGCGAAAATTGCCGGATCACAATGATCAGGGACGACCGAGCAGCTGACAAATGTGACACTTTTACTGGATCAAGGGTTTTCTGGCTTTTGAGGCCACAGATGACTTGACCACTGGCGATATGCGCCGAGGCTGGAGAAAAATACACCGCATTCGGCGATTTTGTCTCTTTCTAGACGTCGCAGAGTGAAAAAATCACGCGATCCTCTTAGATAAAGCCTTAGGAAATAGAGCGGTCCATTTTAATTCGGCATCGGAAGTCAAATGGGAAAAACCTTAAGGCTTGAATCAAATCGGGGTCGGAAGGAAATTCAATTCCGCCACCCGGTAATAAAGCGAATCAACAAGACGTGAACAATATTTTCCTTAAAAATGAAGTAAAATCGAGTTTTAGTGCGTTAAAGTGCGTTTCTAACGCAAATAAACATCATAGAACAAACAGCACTGAAATCCGGAACTACATAAATAGCCTGATATTTTTAGTTTCGGGCTCTAAAATCGTGATGATTAATGGGATTTTGAAGTTGACAAATTATTCTTGGGAGAGAAACAAAAAGGATTGACAGAAAATACGATAAAATGATAAAGAAAGAGAGTCTGTGGTGGAAGGAAAGCAAAAACCAAGTTAGTTACAAAGGACAAGAAAAAGAAATTTATAAACAATCAACACTATTTTTCCCTCCATCCCATATTTAGGCAACACTGATGGCAACACTGATTCCGGTAAGTGAGGTCGATTTTAGTCAGTTTGAGTGGGTTTGTTATGTATATAAAAACTAGAACAACAAACAGCAGTTTTATATATTATTATTATTGTTATTATTAGTTATCCTTATCAATAAATGCTGTTAAGAAAAATCTGTCTCTAGTTTTAGCTAACTTTATGAGTATAACCAAAGAAAGAGAGAAAAAGAGAGACAAGGAGAGAGAGAGAGAGAGAGAGAGAGAGAGAGAGAGAGAGATAGAGAGAAAGAGTGAGAGAGTGAGAGAGAGAGAGAGAGAGAGAGGAGAGAGAGAGAGAGAGAGCGTGATAGAGGGAGATAGAAAGACGTATCAACAGAAGGCAGAGGAAGAATGATGATGAAAAACCCTGCATATTTTTCAAGGTTCATCATCAATTTACTCATCAATCATGTTTTATACCACATACATAATGGATTTGTTTGACCAAAAAACTGTCCCACAGTATGATATTAGTTTTTGCAAATAATAAATTGATACAAACAGCTTAAGAAAAATATCGAATTGTGTATGACCCAAAAACAGCAAGACGGGCCAAGTAAATTCTACCATAACTATATGACCTGCCGAGGTTTGGTTATGTTAGTACGAAGAAAAGTAGAATTTGTCAACTTATGAGCTTGAACTTTTTAGATGTTAGGTCCACCTGCTTATCTTTCTTCTCAACCTGCAAATGCAAACATGTAGCTTAGAAATAATTGATTATAATTAAAGTCAATAGAAAATCCACTTAATCTGATTCGACGGCAACGAAGACAATCGTTCTAGAGGAAAAGTAAATGAAGGACTCGTTGATTACAGTTAGTGGTAACTGGAGCGATGGCGCCGTTACTTCCGTTTTGAATTCGTACGAATTAATACTAAAACGAAAATTCATAATTCATGACTCCTTTTATGTCTCGTTTACATTGAAATAAGGTTTTTTAATGGAAAAATATTTTTAAAAAAATGAATTAAAAAGAGAGAGAACGGGAAAAATATAATGCTATTGTCTTAAACAAGTCTTGAAATAGATGCAAAATGCATTTAATTTTTACACGAAGTAACATGACGGTATACAAATAGATATAAACAATTCACGCCAATATTCTAATGAAGTAAGGCACGCATGTAGAGAAAGGTAGGTCGATGTGAATAACTTAATTGAAGGGTGCAACTCCTTGGCTCCGTATAGAGAGCGCGTAGGAACACCAGCCGATATAAAATTATTTTTGAGCAGGACAGCATTTGTGTTCCTTGATCCGAACCTTGGAGTGAAATAGGATTATTTTTATTGCATATAGTGCTATTTATTTATTTATTTTTACTTTCACCCGACGGTTTTCACCATGTGTGAACCATAGGGTCTACAATCTAAGGGGTGCTCACCTACTCCGTTTGCTGCTGGGCTAGTATCCCCTTTAAGCCAGATGCCAAAAGTATCCTCCCGACCAGAGGGCTTCGGTCAGTTAGCTCATTTTAGTCCTCGACGCATGCAAAATATAATCTAACCTAAAACTAACTTATACAATACAGTCGCACAAATAAATACATTTACACTTATGTATGGCACTCATTCTGATTAGTCAGTCCGGTTCTTCCAGTCTACTCTGTCGGATATTTTGATTAGAAAATTCTTGTCAAAAATGAATTTTAGGATCTTGGCATTCGAAAGACATCCTCAGAGAAAGTTATTAAGGAAGCAGTGTTACCACCAGTGTTACCAACCTTTCTGTCTCTCTTTCTCTCTTCCTCTATCTTCTCTCTCTCTCTCTCTCTTTCTTTCTTCCTTAATGTAGTTATCCTAGGATTTATTGCAAATGATAACTAATAACTAAAAAGCAATTATATAATATTATATGAAAAACGTGGTTTCTCTCCTGAACAAAATAGCTCTTATTTTACCTAAAGTTGTAAAAGTCAGTGTTACGATCAGTGTTACCAATCTTTCTGCCTCTCTTCCGCTCTCTCTCTCTCTCTCTCTCTCTTTCTCTTTTTTTTCTCTTTCTCTCTACCTATTTATGTATCTATCTGTCTATGTAAACCTATGTCTATGTATCTATCTGTTTCACTGTTTTTTTTTTCTATCTGACTAATAATATACATACAACAATCATATAATAGTATATAGAAAATGCGCTTTTTCTCTATTGAACAAAATCAGTTGTTTTTGTTCTTATTTTACATATTTACAAAAATATTTCGACGCCCTGAATTCAGTCTCACTTACCGGAATCAGTATTGCCATTAGTGTTACCCAAACATGGCACGAAGGGGAAAACATTTTACATATTTACTTAGATATTTGTAAGTTGATCGATAACGACAAAGTCCTCTCAGGAATTAATAAATCCTAATCTCGACCCACTTTATTTTTATTTCAAGTTCTTTGAAAGACTACAGAAAAGTCTAGCGCGAGATACAACATGCGGACACTCAGCAATGGTGAAATGCGCCTGATCTTCATATAAGAAATGCTGTAGTCCTGGACCAAATGTTGGGAATTCAGAGAAATTGTATGTCTAGATAAATAGCGAGAATAGATTGACCAGAATGATAAGGGACTAGGGAACACAGTGTTTATTTTGTCGATGCTTCCTTTTTAAAAGAAATGGGTCATAGGGAAAACATTTAATTTACATTTTGTTTTTCTCCACGGAAGTATGATCCTTCTTGAATGTTGGCGTGAATCGAGGTCCATCTCCCAGATCTGCGGGACAGCGTTTCAAAGGGGGTGAGAAAGTAAAATCGGACGTTCCATTCTCTGGTATTCAGAGTGTAAAAAAGGGGGTCCGTCCGAGGCGGTGGGGCGAAGAAGAAGGAGGAAGTGGTGATCTTCGTCGGTCCTCTTCGGAAGAAGAGTCAGTTGTCTGTTTGTGCCCTGACCATGGAGACGTCCCGGCTTATCGCCGCGTTCTTCCTTTTCGTAAGTGCGACTTTTTTTTCCCGACAAATCCAACAAATTACATTGTGTGATTGTTGGTTGATTTTATTGTTATTAATTTGATGTAGAGGAGGATTTTTTTAAACTATAGTGTGCTTGACTATACTAGCAAAAATTTAAAGTTATAAACTCTTCTACATTCCAATTTTCCTACTAATGTACATCTTCCTTTAGACATATATATTTTACATGAAAAAACAGTTTCTTCCAATTTATAAATAATAGTTTTTTTCTCCAAGTTATGCCATAATTTCGCTAATTTCTGGAAAAGGAAAACTTTTTCTATGGCTGCGCATGGGCACATATCAATTTTATGACTGTTACAACAGATGAAGCATCTTAAGGTTCAATTTTATTTCTTACTATTTATTTAAAAAAAAATCATTTACTGTGTTATTGACTATTTTGACCCTTGTAGGAAGATTTGAGGTTTACCCAACAGAATGTTTCAAAATTATAGAAATTACATATAAAGTGTAAAAATGGTTTGCTGCGATGACAGTTTTCAAAACGTGGATCCAGATCCAGGGGAGTTTTCTTTGGATTTTTCCCAAATATTTCAATCTCAACTTGCAATTTTAATTCTAAAGTCTTTTATATATAATAATATTTGTTGTTATATATAGATTTATCAACGCTTCAAACAACGCATTAACTTGACCTTACTTATTGGTATCAGGGTTGCCATCAGTATTACCCAAATATGGAAGGGGGGAAAGAAAGAAAAAAATACATTTTAAAAATTTATATATTTGTAATTTGGTCGTTACCAATTATCTTGGTCCGCCTAGTCTCGCAGAGTCGGTCTGGCAGGCGCGCTTCGTCATTTCGCCATTTTTATCATTCCTGGTTTGGTCCTCTTGTTGTTCTCTTACGCTGGCTTTCAACATCAAAAAATCTAAATATTATAAAAAAATTTCATAAGTCAGTTTAAAAAAAATACTGGTGTCGATGGTTGAAAATACAGATCCATAACGAAAGTATAACATTGAATGGTGTATTGACAATTTTAAAGACATGGATCCAACGTGTATTCTTTGGATTTTTTACCAAATATTTCAATCCCATCTTGCAATTTTATTTCTAAAGTCTTTTATATATAATAGTACATAAACATGTGCTGTTTGTTGTTATATATAATTTATATTTACAAACACGCTTTAACGCATTAAACTCGAATTCACTTACTGGTATCATTGTTGCCATCAGTGTTGCCCAAACATTGGACAGAGGGAGTGAAAAAACATTTTACAAACTTATTTATTTAAAATTTGATCGTTACTAATAATCTTGTCTGTCCTAGTCTCGCAGAGTAGGTATATCAGATCAATCAGATCATCATCTGTTTTTGGTTTTATATATTTGATTTATATATTTTTTTATTCGGATCACCGAAAAATTTGGTGAACCCGCAGTCACCAAGGTATCAGTTTTACCAAATAGTACAGTACAGTACGGAGAAAAAAAACCGTGTTAACTGCTTTATAAATTTATATATATAGAGCGATCCTTTTACTTTCTTTTATACCTCTTTTGCATACATATATATATATATATATATATATTTTTTGAATGTTTAAAATAAGATTATTTAGAAATATTAGGATTTTTCTGTAGTGAGTTTCCATTCCTTTACACATACATACAAAATATTTTGTTGTTTTCTTAAGCCTTGCGGTAGAGTGTTATGAAGTCTCACATTTTTTCATTTGCTCTCCTTCTCACATATTTTTTCTTTTCCTCGTATTTTTCCTTTTTACAGCAAGAATCATATAACTATCTGAAACACAACGTATTACTTTACTATACAGAAACTTCATGATTTTTTACATAGAGAGTTTAATAAAGCATTTCTTTATGTATATATGTGTTGCCACCAGTGTTGCCCAAACGTGAGACGGAAGGAAAAAAGTCTTAACCGTTTTACACGAATGTATGTAATATTTACAATTATGTCCGTTCTAGAGGGGTGCATTTCTCTGATGGGCACTGATTGCTGTGGAATCCTCCGTTATGGAGGTGTTTAAAATGTTTAAAAATCCTATATTTTTTCGCGGGGGAATGCAAAAATTGTCCGTTAATAGAGTTGTTCACTATATCGCTATTGAGAGTTGTTCGTTAAGAAGGACTATGTATTTATTTATATATTGATCACCTGTCTTCTGCCCTTCTTCTCGCATACGCTTTTTATTTTTCTCGCATTTTTTTCTATCTCTCACTTCCCCCCTCCCACCCCCCTAAAAAATAATAACTACATACAAATGCTATGTATCGGTCTATTATGTGGAACCTTTAGGATTTTACCCGTAGTGAGTTTAACATTTTTTACACATATCAGTGTAGCCATCAGTGTTACCCGAACATGGGACGGAGGGGAAAAAAGTGGTTTTATATGTATCATCCCATTATTTGGAAACTTTAGGATCGTTCAAGCTTTTGCCTTCCGGGCTTGTCTCGATGAGCAATCTGGAAGAAAAGACGTAAAAACGGTTCTTTTTCAGAGAAAGAAGCCGCTTATCTAAGCATCTCGAAAGATACCGTCTTGACATTTGAGCCTGGTTTTGATACCGTTCCCCCCGTTCCGCTAAGCGTGCCTTATGTCAATAATTAGAATATAGAATTAATTCCTAGATCGAAGTAAAGACGAGCCGGAAAATGGGAATGACTCTGTAGGCTTTTAATTAGGGCGATCGTTAAGGACGAATGCACCCCGAGTGGCTTACATCCATTACCACTTAAACGGACCGATACACTTCTAAGATGTTTTGTTACTTTTCAAACAGACAACTTTTAATTGTGTCCATTTTCTGTTTTACAGGTCGCAAGAGCGATGACCCAAGATTACGATGGTAAGTTTGAAATTTTTCTCTTATAAATTAAGTTTTTTAAGCATGAATTACGTAGAGGATACTTCGAACATTGAGACAGTTTCTTGCTTTGGACCGCATCTCCAAGCAACGTAACCGTAAAGCTGTTTAGTTTTCTGCAGAAAAAGTGGTTATTCTTTAAGAAACACACAAATTTCGACCTCTTGCGCTTAGACAAGTAAAACGCGCAGTCATGCCGGGTTCAACTTCCCCTTGTCAACGGACAAAATCGTCCGGACATCTCAAATCGCCAGTCATTTTTTACCTTATCTTGATCTTAATTTGACCCTATATCAATAAAGAAATTAGAAAAACTAAGACCAATTAGACAGGTTTTTAGTATTTCGCTATTGATGGTTTATACAGGGTCAGCTACACGTGTTACGAAATTAGCCAGTAGATTCTACATTCACAATGGAACCAAAAAGTCCTCATTAACTATGGTCCGAATCTCAACAGTTTCGAAGTTATTTCCCTTGTTCTGATTTTTTAAAAATTTCACGGCATTCTTTCAAATAAACAATGATAACTCCAAAACTAAAAGGTTTTGGACAAATCCATTCATATCATTGAAAATTACGTTAAATTTTCAATAAAATGTAATCAATACTAAACTTGTAAACCTTAGTGAAATAAGCGTTTTAGTAGCCAGAACTTTGAAAAACTTTAACTCTAAACTTCTTAGAATTTCCAAACCTAGAAACCAGCAAAGTTCAGAAAACGTACTCCATTTAATATCCTTTTTAGTGGCGTAATTGCTTTTTTAATTACTTTTTGCAAAGATGAAGAAATTGATGAAGGAAAGGAAAAAACCGTCGTTGAAGGATTGGTAAGGTGGAAAGATTAAAAAAAGAGCCCGTTTTCTCATATTAGCCACTATAACTCGAAAGTTTAATTTAAGTTTAAGTAAAAATAAAAGATTAAAACATTAGAAAAAGTAACCATAGTGTAACATATAAGTTTTTTTAAACTGTTTTTTTAATCTTTCTCCCTTACCAATCTGTCAACCACGGTTTTTTCCTTTTCTTCATCAATTTCTTCATCTTTGAACAAAGCAATTACACCATTAAAAAGTTTATTAAATAGAGTACGTTTTCTGAAATTTGCTGGTATGTTTTTCAATTTTCAAAAACAAATATTTTTCAAAGTTCTGGTTACTAAAATGCTTATTTCACTTAGGTTGCAAGTTTAGTATTGATCACATTTTATAGGAAATTGATATAGTAGTTTTCAATAGAATCAACGGATTTGTCCAAAACGTTTTAGTTTTGGAGTTGTTATTGTTTATTTGAAGCAAGGTCGTGAAATGTTAAAAAAATCATAAAAAGGGAAATAACTCCGAATCTGTTGAGATTCGGACCATAGTTAATTAGGTTTTTTGGTTCCATTTTGGCAGTTTTGTAACACGAGTGGCTGAACACTCTGTATAGATTGCGATTAAGTATTTTCTATTTTTGGTTGTTACGGATCATCCAGGTCTATCTTCGCTGTGTTGGTCTGTCAAACGTGATTCTACCAAATCATTCTACTATGTTCTATATTTTTATATTAATCGCCTTTTTTTCTGGCGTATTGTCTAATTTAGATGGGTTTGAATTATTAGGGACATTCAATTAAAATGAGAAAAGCTTTATATTCCAGGTTAAACTGAAATTTGGCAATTACCAAATGCAATAAAAAGGACATGACAATTACTAATAACTAAAATAATTAAAATAAATACATTAAATTAAAATGAGAAAAGGCTATTATTATAACAAATGGAGTTGACATTCTATGTTAAATTCTGAAATTTTTAATAATTGTAGTATTTAAATTTTTGCATTTTTTAATTGTAACGCGCACATGCCATTTTCTTATTGATTAGATTATGTGTGGTTGAACAATAATCCCTAATACTATTCCCACGAAAATATCTTTATAAATAAATGAAGGGAGCTTTTAATTCCTGCTTGGACTCTAAGACCTAGAGTTTGTTAAGTTTTACAATTTGAATTTTCACTGTTACACGTGTAAATTACATTTCGAGTATTGGACGATTATTGACTAGATCAGGGGTGCTCAAACTTGAACTGCTGGCGATCTACCTCAATATTTTTAGACTACTTACGATCGACTCTGAGAGGCTGCAAGTGTGTGTGAGGCAGGGTTGTCGTACATACACGATACACCCTACCTACCTAGGTAGGGTGTACCGTAGCATATATAGATATTAGCTTTCTGCACAATATAGGTACATTATTTTAGTCAAGGTTTGGGTTAGGTTTAGTTAGGTTCTTCTCTACAATATCAATGAAAAAACTCATAGTTATTCAAAATTGCGAGTTTATTNCTACCTACTTATTAAAAATTTTTTTCTTTTCGAGATCTACTCAAAAAGCACTCGCGATCGACTGGTCGATCGCGATCGACCGTTTGAGCACCCCTGGACTAGATTAACAGGTAATAAAGTAACTTTGTGAAATTACATAAAACACTGTAAATACAGGTACGGAACTTAAATAACTTGTTATATTGAAAGAAATGACGATTTTAACGTTTTTATTTCGAAATGTTTAAAGTTTTCACTTCCAAGTTGCTTTCGCACGTTGGCAGGTTGCGTATCAAGCCCTACACTGTTAAAATGAGAAAATACGTTTGGGTAACAAATTAAATTTCAGTTAAATTAGAAGTTTTGATTATGATAAGAGTAAAAATTTCAATGTTACTCGCCCAACTGTTTGTATAATAGACGAGTTTCGATAGGCTGAGTGGGATGACTTAGTAAGGGTCAAATTATTAAAATGTTACAATTTTTTGATCAAATAAGCTTGAATCACTTGCTAAACTGGAAAAGTGTAATAAGTTTACATAGGGCTGAACGGTTTTGATGCAAAATACATAGTTTTCAATATTGGTAAATCGAAGTCTTTTTTGAGATTAAAATGATTAAAATAGAGTGAAATTATCGAATTGTACTTAGTCGTTTTACATGTCAAGTTAATAAACGATGACTTAGACTGAAAGGCTTTTCAATTTAATATTTCCAACTTGTCCTGTACTTTCTTTGAGCATTAAACGCGTAATGTATAGGTTATGTGAGGTTAAATGTTTTACATCGCACTATTTAAATGATTAAATATGTATATATCTATACAAAGAACTAGATCGAGCTTAAATTTCTGATTAAACTGGACAATTTTCGTGCTTTTTAATGTTCAATTTTGAATTTTTAAATTTCACGGCCGACTAGATTTTGGTAACGTTAAACCCTTAGCGGTCAGGTTATGTGAAGTTAAATAAAAATTAAAAAATCATTCTTTAATGAAGGAATGCGAGCCTAAATTTGTTTAAATTTTCATTTTTCCAATTTTCGACTATTATTTATAAATTGGAACTTTTATTATTTAAAATTTGTCTAAGTTTCAAATCTACCACTTCGAGTATGAACTGTAAAGGTTACCATCACACAATACACTAAATTAAAACATTAAAATATTAAATTAAATTAAATTATTTATTAACTGGGAAATTTGGTTATTAACGTTTCAAAGTTAAATTTTGAACTGTTTCATCCAATTTCACGTTAACATCGTGCTTTATCACGTTGACAAGTGTGTGTATTGAGCTAGTATTGAGATGAGACGAGAAGAAACTGGTGAGTGGTTAGGTTTGGTGAAATAACAAATTTCACATTTTTCGTTCCAAACGAAACCCTCATCAAATCATATACGGAGCTTAAATTACTTGTATCGGAAGACCTCGCGATTATAACGTTTTCAATTCAATAATTTCAAGCTTTTTCGTCGAACTCAATTCTGCACATTGGCCAACTTGTTACGTCCTCCGTATTGTATAGGTTATGTGTGATTAAATACTGAGTATCACACGATTAAAATAGAAAAAATTATTATTCAATAAACTCATGGGAGCTTATTTTATTTTTTATTTTAGTTGAGTTTATTTTTGCTATTTTCGACTATTATTTATAAGTTTCCGGAAGGTAGTAGTAATAATCATTGTTTGTTATTAATAGTGTGAGGCTTATTATTTAACCGCACATAACCTGTACATTACGTATCTAACGCTCGAAGGACGTTTAAGGATTTAAAAGTCAAATCACTTTATTGTCCAGCTCATCAAGCGATTAAAGTTTATTTAACAAAGATATTTTCTCATTTTAATAATGTGAGGTTTGTTGTACAGTCAAAACTAACCTAGTCAATACGCTACCTTCCAGAAATTTATTAATAGTCGAAAGTAGCAATTTGACGATTTATCGTCCAATTGAAATTTAGCTCATGGACTGTGAGGTGTAGTTAATTTAAAAAAAGAAAATCTTTGTATATAGTCTTAATATGCTCCCCTGTAGGAGTTCTCTATTTTTATTCATAGTCTGATAATTAGCTGTAATGCAAAACCAGTGGGAAGAACCAACCTTTTTAAACTATTAAATCACTATATCCCCTTCATCATAATCATTTGTTATTAAGCAGTATCCTATAATTGGCCTAATCCTATAATGATCTGAGATTAAAAATATTTGGATTATGACATTTTGTCTTTTCTCTGTTACAAAAAAAGACAAAATGTCATAATCCAAATATTTTTAATACAATTTTTTAGTAATTTTGTCTGTTAATCCATTTAAACAACCCTAAACAGCACTTAAAATATAGATATCTAGATAATTGGGAAACATCGTCCCGGGCGAAAAATGAAGATTTTTTGTTAAGGTCGTGAAGATAATGGTAGCCGACTTCACACGATTAATAACAACACATAACTGAACATATGGTTAGAACGGGACAACTAATAGTCGACAAGGCAATGAATTCCCGATCCCATGGATACTATTTTTAGAAGGATTACTAATAAACTGAATTAATTTATGTAAAAGGCCAATTTGGAGAGCTGTCGGTGTTAACAAAAGGATGTACACCAATTAAAAGTTTTGTTGTGTTTATTATAACGATCGATGTCGTTAATGCGTTTTGTTACAA